TTGTGCTTTTCTTATTATGTTTTTGTAGTACTATTCATTACTGTCATTCCTCTTACTCCTAGTATTAATTAACATCAATACCTACTACCCCCAGAAATTGCAATGCCTGCAGGCCGCTGTGGAAGCGTACCCGGAGGCAATTGGGGTCGGGTGTGGGTTTAAGACGAGGCCCCAGATTTGGGGGGTGCTTTAATGTTTTGCTGAAATCACCTCGGGTTACGTGGGTGAATGATTTGTTGGTAGCTTACCAGCTACACACCCTTTTAAGATTGGTTTTCAAGGTATTGTTAGTGTCTTTCAGCGACACAAGATTCATGCCCAAGGGTCCACTTCTGAATTTCCACGTCCCAAAGTTGCGAAGAGTTGTCCTTCATGACTTGCCGAGTAGATGGTCTGGCCAACATCCCGAAACGACTCCCGGCAAGAATCTTCGATTTCCTTCATATCGCCAACCCACTGGACCGCACTTGACGGCAGGATGGCATCGTGCGGAAAGATTGGCTCTTTGGGCCCTTCCCTGCACAAGCGGCAAGCGTTGGCACGCTTATCTGTCGTTAGGTGTCGTTTGTTCCTTTCGTGGTCATGGCAACGCCGTATATGAATAGCAGAGCATTGGAGTACTAATCTCTGCTCCGGAATGGCGATGATCAATTCACGCCTCAGATCTTAATTTATCCCGTCACCGTTAGGCTGATAATGGCTGTCTCAAGAGCTCGAAATGCATATCTGCTGCTGATGGGTTTTCGCGGCCAGGCGCTGGCTGTCGACCAGATCATGTGGACAAAGTGTGCCGAGGATGCGCTCAACCTGGTCGAGAAGGGGGACCGTGAGGCCTGACGCCCCATACGCCCCTTCCTGGTCAGCCCAGTAAGTACGCGTCTGTAGTGAGGATGTGTTGCAAGACAGCCCCTTTCACAGCCCCTTTCTCCCTTTCTCGACGTCGCAGCGTGGAGGAGTAGGCTATGCGGTTGTTTGCTGTCAAGGCCATGCGGGCCAACATCACCTTCACCAACAAGCAGTTGGAGCCAGGGGCTCTGTGGACAGAGTTTTTTTTCTGTTTTGGTTCGAGATTCTTGCACCTTGGCCTCCTGCTTCCATGTCTTTATGCCAGGCATAGGCCCGAGGTTTGGATTCTTCACCAAGAAGTCCATGTTTCATGTGTGCCAAATTTTGAATATGTACTGCCCTTTCTGTCTTCAGACCTCTCTTGGTGTTGTGTCAATCTCGGCAGATTCTTCTGAGAGCGGGACGTGTGGCGGCGATGAGGAGGTTACACTCGCTTCAACACAAAGAGTTCCGTTGAGGTTTCAGATCGAGACCTGGGGCTGTGGCCTAGGGGAAGGGCTTTCTTGCAAAGCTCCGACATGTGACGTTGCTGCGGCGTTTTGCCTACTGGGCATCGTTCACCAGACTGTGCCTGCTCTCTTACATAATAGAATTTTCGCGCGGCCACGCGCCTCCGCGGCCCGTTGCCGCGGGCCCGTGTCCTGCGGCCCGCATCCCGCGTCCCGCATCCCGCGTCCCGCATCCCGCGTCCCGCGTTAGGGTTTTTAGGGTTTAGGGTTTTTGGAATTTAGAGTTTTTAGGGTTTAGGGCTTCCGGGTACGTTAGGGTCCAGCTTGTCTAGGGGCGTTAGGCATTCAGGGTTTTGGGTTTTTTTGGGTATCTATAGGGTTTGGGTAGTGGGTTTGGGGTTTCAGGGTGAGGTTTTTTTGGGGTTTTGGGTGTCGAGGGTTTCTAGGGTTTACTATTTTTAGGGTCAGGGGTGTTTAGGGTTTTAGGGTCTAGGGTTTTTAAAAGTTAGGGTTTTTGGGGTTTAGGGCTTCTAGTGTTTTTAGGGTCCAGCGTGTTTTAGGTGCCATAGTCCTTCAGGGTTTAGGTTTTTTTTTTGGGTATCTATCGGGTTTAGGGTTTTTAGGGTTTAGGTTTTTGAGGGTTATTTGGGTTTAGTGGTTTTTAGAGTTCAGGGTGTTGTAAGGGTTTATAGGGTTTAGGGGGTTTGGGGTTTCATGGTGAAGGTTTTTTTTGCGGTATTGGGCGTGTAAGTTTTTTAGTGCTTACAGTTCTTAGGGTTAGGGGTGTTTATGGTGTTTAAGGTTTTTGGAAATTCGGGTTTTTAGGGTTAAGGCTTCTAGGGCTCTTAGGGTCAGCCTGTCTAGGGTCTTTTTAGGTATTCAGGGTTTGGGGTTTTAGGATATCCGCGGCCCGCGGCCTGCGTCAGGTCCCCTCGTCCCGCGGCCCGGCCCGCGCGGCAAAAAAAACCTATACCCCTGCCTTCTTGCAATCTGAGAACTGGACCATGTATAGATATTGGCAGAGCACAGAAGTCTTTGAAACAACAAAGGGTAAGCAACAGATAAGAAACCAGCTGTGTCACCAGCCTGAAGCTCGGATCTCAAAGGTCCACGGTTGCTGGACGGAGATTCTGCAAGCGACAAAACTGTCATGTACATGAGTGTGCCTGGAGTATCTTGAGTAGAAATGACGGGCCATTCCGCAGTTTTCCTTGGGAACTCGGCTGGGAGCCAATCATAGTCCGCAATCCCCAACTTCTCATGCTGCTTCCGCACGCAAACCTTGTAAAGGAAAACACATGGCGAATTGCAACTATCGGAAAGCCACTTATGAAAAGCTAGGGGTCAACCCAATTTGGTGCGTCCTAACAAGGAAACACATAGTCTTGTCCAGCGCTCATTTGCAGAAATCCCTTGCAATCCAAGCAAAGCGCCAGGTCTGAGATGTGAGCAAGTCTGGTCGAAACTGGAGCACTGAAACCTCCTGAAGATCGAATTCTGTCAGAGCTTTGATTTAGTTGCTCCAGGCTCTGGGCCTGGGTTTGGTGTTTACCATGTTTTGTGGCAAGCCGAGTCAAGTCAACCGAGAGACAAGCCAAGTCAAGCCACATGTAAACGAGATCTATCAGCGGCCTGACTCAAGCAGTTGGACGTCCCAGACTGCTTTGCCACGCTGAGATTTGCCTGCAATGTTCAGCCTTTTCTTCAAGAAGCGCGATGTAAACGAGCCAGCAGTTAACCATGTGAAGCTCCGACGGAACCGAGCGCTTATTTTGACAACTTTCCGCGGGCAAGCATCTCGAAGAGGAGCGGCAGCATTGCCATCCCCGCCTTCAATTGGCTCCACGCACTTTTTCAGTGAGCACTTGGGGCACTTCAGATCAGAGTTTGAAGAAGCCAACTTGGCCAAGCTTCAAGGAGGGCTGAAGAGGCGGCCCAACAGGAGCATGAGGAACTGCAGCCGGTCAACTTTTTCATGACAAGGCTGGATATCCGCGCTTCGGCTGCCTACAGCCTCTCACGCGTCTAAGAAGCCAAAGCTGTTGGCAGAGTTGTCTCGGGAGCAGATGCAGTCTAAACTCTTTTTTCTTTTAAGACTCATTGGGATTGTTGCGTCTGTGGCTGGTCAAAAACAAATAGGTACTCTGTCGGAGGTTCTTTCAGGGGCTTTGAAGTCCCGATGATAGTTGGCATTGCGTGTGAAACAGCATCCTAGCCCTTGGCTGGGCCTCCTTGAAAGGATCCGCTTAAAAGGATTCTATTGCCAGCCCTACTTTGAAAGTTTCTCCGATTGAGCAAGGCATAGCGTTGAGCTTGTGCGTCTCGACCTCACGAAGCTACAGCGAGCTGGGGCCTCAGCGGTGTCAAGCACATTCGAGTATCATCGTGATTCTGGTGGTGGGGGATTTTCTGGCAGTAGTATTCGTCCTCATCTTAACAAAGAGTGGTAGCATTTGCGATGCAATATTATGTTTTTATTGGGGTAGGGCTCAAGCGCTCAATCAGGACTGTTCTTCGAGGGAGGTTCACCAAGACTAGTACTATTTCCCACTCAGGATCCTAGGTGCAAGGCATCACGTCAGGCTTCCCAGAGATTGATGCCATCCAAGGACAGGTTTTGGTCAAAGCTTCCAGGGCTGGCTGCAAAGCCTCTGGTGAGTTGACCCTAGCTCGCATGCCATGACTGAGCAGGTTCTGATGGGAGCTCTGATCGTGCTGGACGTGCGATGCTTACAGTGACAGAGTTTGCCACGGGAGCACATGGAAGTTTTTTTCTGGCCAAAACCAAGGGTGCAGTTGAAACTGGATTTCCGGGATTTCCCTCCCCAGATTCCAGCCTTGACGATATTAGGTAGTCCCAAATGGAAGAAAAGTCATCCAACGCGGAACGAGTGCAGGCTTGCATCACTCATGCCAGTAGCAAGAAGAATACTAGGAGCGATTTGACACACGTGGTGCATGGCGGAGCACATCTAGGCTTGAGCGGGGACAAGAACCCTCTTTTCTTCGGAGAAACACCTACATGACCCAAGGAGGGCTGCAGGGACTCCTGTGCTTGGGAAAGTCACTGTGCTTGATCAAACATGGGTTCTCTTTCTAAGGTGTACTTCTCTGTTGTGGCGAGATCAATTCTGAGGTTACGAGCTTTCAGGTAGAGTGGTAATGAGGACATCTTGGATCTGTATCTAGCGGTCCAGTACCAGCACTTAAGAGAGGCCCCGAGTGCTTGTGCGTTGAGCCAATGGCCAAGGTGCATGGGATCTCCGTCTTGGAGCAGATTGATGCAGCAAAATGCAGGCGACCTCCAAGAGCAGCTGTCCAAGCTAGGATTTCCCTGGTATCCGAAAACAATGGGCCATCTGACAGAGGGGATGGGGACCATGCATTCGACAACCCGCGAAGGGGCACCAAGATGGCAAGCGTTGATGTTTGAGATTTGTCCCACTTCCTTCGGGCAGCGTTTTGCATTGTGTGGTGTGCGTACAAAGTAGCGATGAACAGTTGTGATTTCAAACCTCGTATTTTGAGATGCCTGGACCCGGGGGAGCGCTTCTACCGAGAAAGAATGTCTGGTTGCAGCCTTCAGCAATTGGGCTTGTGTGGCCATGGCTTGCTGAATTGTTTGAAACAAGACCAGTCAACAGTCCATGAAGCAGGTCAGTCAATGACTTTGACTGGAGCAAGCAGCTCCGGTACTACTGGGCCATGGAGGAGGCAAAGCGACTCCTTGAAGTTGTTGCAAGAAAATGAAAGACGTTTGCTTGGGATTGGGTGCCGGGGCTCAGGGTGCCGGCTTCTCTGGCTAGCCAATTTTTGAATAGATGGAGCACTTCAATGCATAGATACCCAGCAGCAGAGAAGACCCCGACCCCAAAGTTTGCAAACTACAACTTCACAGCTTTCCTTGGTAGTGAGGCCCGATGATGTGCGCAACAAGTTGGGTAGTTGTTGACGACGGTTTCCCTGCTGTCCCCCCAACAACTTACAGCTGGTCAGGTGTTGATGCAGGAGCCTAAGAGCTCGGGGTCGTTACTTGCGGAGGATCGTCAACGAGGATGTCTGCTGAAATTGTGCGGCATGGAGCTCAATTGCTTCCTGACTGAGGTCTGATGGGACTCGGGCATCTGACACCTGCATCGTGAAGCAGACGATTGCCAACATTCGGTGCGCTGTCTTGTCAGTCAAGCACTTCGCAAGGTAGCCTGAGCTGCAAAGGGGCATGAAACCTGCAGGTACTCGTTCGAGTACTTGGGGAACACGCCACGCCTGGTCGTCACGCCTCTGACGGACAAGTGCCCAGCCTGGGCTGCGTATTTGTGGCTCTGTTCGACAGAGTTTTGTCAAGGCCAATACCTGTCTTGGCATATCTACCATGTTCACACTCTCAATCAGCTTAAGTTTTGTCGTAGAAGGGCTAGAAAGGCCTGCAGATTCGAAGATGCCAGCGACTTTGTTATCATCTTTATGCTTCCGAATGCTTGGCTCAAGATTTTAGCTCCTGTCCATCTGCTGCAGTCCCTCCAGGCCGGGTTTTAAGGTCCACTGCGCGGAATGGGATGTCCCTCGCGTGATACGCGTTTCTTCCGGAACAGGTCCTTGTCTGTAAGCTGACCTCCTCAGCCTAATTCTATTGCCGTCTGTTGCTGACATGGTTGCAGAGAGAAAACAGAGAAAACGTTAACAAGCATAATTTGCAACGACAGCGCTTTTGGCCTCCAAGTTTCGCAAGCCACCCTTTGATCCACGGATCTTGAAGCTAAACCCTTGCCCTGTCTGTGGAGCCTCTGCCTGTGACCCACAAGTCTGCAAGATCACTTCGTCGACCATGTCCTTCTGGGATGTTCCGGGAATGAAGGCGGGCGGTTGACATGAGGCATCTGAGGATTAGGATTTGTTGGTATCCGCAAGCTCTACATGCTTGCGCGGGAAAGTTAACGTCTCTAAATCGGACACGGGCTTTCTCAAGTCGCAGGAATCTCGATGGATAATGAGGATCCCAATACTGGGCAGCACTTTTTACACGCACGCAAATTCCGTCCATGTCGTGGCCAGGCTGGCGTCGTCACTGGCGATGTCGCTTGGGGTCTGCTCCAGCACGCCAAGGCCAACGGCCTGAGGCTCAGGTCTTGTGTTTGTCAGAGGGTTTAGGGTTTAGAAACTCAAGTTCCATTTGTGGGCATCCTTACCCAGGCAAGGAGCATCCATTCCCGCTGTCTAGCTGCGCTCGTACCTGTTGCTACAACTGATGTTCTTGCCGATGAAAAGTCCTGCTGTTTTGGCTAGGAGTCTCAAGGCATTGATGCCGTTAACTGCTGTACTGCTTCTGCCATTTGCCTTTCTATTTAGTGTCAAGGGCAGACACACCTGCTAGTTTGTCTCTTCCTGCTGCGTCCTGGTGCCACACAATTCTTTGCGCCACCGACTAGGCGCTGCAGTATGCAGGATACTAAACGGCGCTTGGAGATTTGGAGCCTTGCCCATGCTACATCTAGCCCACAGGGCCGGCGTTGGAATTTTCGAAACCAAGATCCACACCAAGTGCCAGCAACCGCAAATGCCTACGCCCATCTAAACCCTTAAACTGAGTCCCGAACCTTATGACATGTGAAGCCCAGAAGCAGGTTATGCAATTCCGGCATTCAACTGCACCAGCACGAGCCGCCTGGCAGTGGATGAGCGTTTGAGTTTCACTTGACGTCCGATGTACCTGATCAAGTGCCAGCGTTTTCTATCTCTTAGCAGGGCCAGCTTCGTGAAAAAATGCGCTCTCTTTAGACTTGGCGGTGTCCTCTGAATGTCTGGAGCACAAGAGCCAGGCACCATCAACTCCGTTCTTGAAGCTGGCAAGGCCAGACACTATGAGCAGTCCAACAAGTACAAGTTTTCAGTGACGTCTGCCTGACCTGTCTGGGCCTTTCAGGCTCTGAACCGCCCAATCATGGTGCAGTTCTCCGAGGACGAGCAAGCACGTCCAAGAGCTTGGTGTTTCTCAATCCTTAAGTTCTGGGGCAGAGAATCTGCAACTCTTTTGTCCAAGTCGGGCTTTACGTCAGAGCGTTGGAGGATGTAACGATGCGTCTGCATTTTGCCGTATCCGTTCCAGGGCTCTCCCAGAGTTGATTGCTGGCATCAAAAACATTGGTGGTAGCAGTACTGGCAACTGGCGCAGTAGTCGGAGACAAGCACGTCGTTGTTTTCATCGTCGTCGCCAGTGCTTCTGCCGGCCGCCATCGTGATGCGGATGCGGTTGCGGTGTGGTGGTGGTGGTGGTGGTGGTGGTGGTGGTGGTGGTGGTGGTGGTGGTGGTGGTGGTGGCGGCGGCGGCTAGCGACGGCTAAGGGGAATGGATTGCCATACTGTAGCAGACGAGTTTTGGTCAGACAGGGTGGAGCCGCTTTCATGGCCGGGAAGAGCCTCCCCAACGAAAAGGGTGTGCTGCAGGCAGGGCCAGGTGTGGGTTATGGGCTAGCATAAGATGCCAGGTTCTGTCATCGGGGGACGTATAAATGCTGTTTCCAAAGCGAGAATGGCTAAAGAGCATCATGATCTCACTGGCCAGGGTTGGGATGCAAATGTTACAGGCAAACATGATGTTGCTAGTGCTATCAAGACGGGCAGTACTGGCCAACCAAGGCGTGAGAAGACAAATTCAAGCCACGATCAGAGATAAACTTAGCCATGAGTCTAGGACCGTGACACATTCCTCCCCGAAGTTGATATTGGGTGACTTTCGAGCTCCGGGCGTGAAACTTGGGCTTGCAGCCTTCCAGAACATGGAAGCGATGGTGCGCTTTCTGGACCTGCCTGGGAAATAGTCCTGCGTGTGGAAAACTTCTTTTAGGCTTGGTCCTCGTTGAAACTTGCCCCAACTTCAAAGATGATTGGAGAGGATGATGAATGTGTGCAGGCCTCAATATTGGGCGCTGTGGCTGGAGCTCACTTCGTTCGAGCCGTGGCACCTGAGCCGGCCTCAGACAGCGCAGAAACTCTTCTGAATGTATTTGAAAGGTCATGGCCTCCTTGCTGGTGTTTGTCTTGAGACAGGTCATAGGTCCCGAAAAGCAAAAGGGCTAGTCCTTCTCAACACCATGGTTCCTGAAGCTCTTTCTGACAATGATCCGGCTCAGTAAAACTCCAAAGCTCATCGTCACTATTGCAACTCATAGTCCCTCTTCATCTTGCTCTTCTTCCTCTTCCTTTCCCTTCTCCAAGAAATTGATCATGAGCGCCAACTCTTTTTCCATCTCTAGCTCCGAGTCCTAGATCCTACACCCTACACTACCCAAACTCAAAAGCTCAAAGCGTGGCGCACCAAGGCTTATGGCATCCCAGCCTTGCGCCCAGACAAGCTTCTGGAGGCAGATATACAAAAAAAGAACATCATGAGCAACACAAATGTTGGGGAAAACGACGGTTCTTGTTGATAGTTATCGTGGTGCCACCAAGGCCACACGTGACTATGAGGCTTTAGCATCAAAAAGATTGGGTGCCGAGGTCTTGGTTGGAGCTGATTTGACACCAAGGTCCTCGTCCACTCAGATCACTGCGCGAAGAAGTTGCTCCCTTGGTTCGACGGCATGCTTGACGCAGATGAGGCCGCATGGATGCAGGGTTTGGGCTTTGAGGGTTCTCTACCGCCCACGAAACAGACCCTGGAAAAAGACATCTAGCTGTGCTGTAGAATTAACGGGTGCTCCCGATGCGCAAGGCCTTCTTTGAGCAGTACGGCGAGCCACTCTTCTCTTCCCATATGCTCGACCTCTCCGAAGACACTTGAACAGTGGAAGGTGCGAGCAACGTAACCATGGGTTGGGTATTTGTAAGCATTAGGCTCCTCTGCATGCCCCCAAGTATTACTAGGATGGTGCTTGCTGAAACGTTGCCCCCCAAAACGGAGTCATGATTTGGGCAAAAAACCATGAATTGCTTTAGCAATTGATTTCCTGCTGCCAAGGAAGTGGATGAAGAGACTCTTGGCCGCCAAGTGGCATCCTGTGCCATCTTTCTACCTGTCTTTGTCCACCCTGGCATCTAAGGCCACCCTCTGCACCCCCCCTCTAGCATTCTTACCGTGCTTGTGAACTTGAAGCCTCCTAGCCAGATTTTCGGTTGACGCCTGCTGATCAGCACTAAGTGAGACTTGTTCTCGTGTCCACGCGAAGGAACATTGAGATCTGCAAGAAGTACCTGAAGCGCCACTTTGCTTCAACATGCGTGCGACCTGAAAGCAGCATCACGATAGATACGCTGACACCTGATGGCCATGAAGACGGCCAAACTGAACAGCAGCCAACAATGCACCTCCAAGGGTTAGTTAAGAGGCCCCCGAGAGCTCCGTGCAAGCTGCCAAAGTTACAGGCATGGCCCCGATGAAGCAGATCCTGGAGATGGAGTTTGGGCCTGAGATGCAATACGACAATAGCCGACTCTTGGAGAAGCTGCAAAGCTGCTTGCAGTAAGAATGTAGCAGCTTTCAATCCCGCAGAATGCTTAGCCCAGCGAATCCAGAGAACTCAGCCACATGGCCATTTGATCCTAGAGGTAGGGGATAACAGGCTTTGGGATATGCAGGGGCCTTGAGTTTGATAGACACATGTTCTGCGAGGATTGGCATTACCGGCGGCGTGGAGGACCGCCTTTCCGCAAGATATCTCTGTAGAACCCAGTTGGCAAGAATTCCAGCGCCCTCGCTGCTGCGCTTGGTCCAACCGCTTCCATTGCAACTAAAGCCAGCATCACCCAAACTCGTTTGAACGCCAATTCGAATACTTCACGATGGCTGCAGGATGGTGTGGACAACAGTGGCGTAACCAAGGACAAGCTGTACTCCACGCCCGAAGACGTCTTCAAGGCAAAGCCAGAGGTGAAAAATATCTTAGCCAGCTCAGGCTTGAGTAGTTGGGAGCAGTGCTGCGACTGCCATAGCTGAGAAGTGACAGCGTCAAAAAACCTAGCTAAGGGTAGGCCCTGTCAGTCAGCCAGCAAGGTCTATGAGGGCTTGAACCCCATTTCTCCAATGTTCACCATTGCCTTGGACCCGGCGAGAAGCTCCTGCTTGTGCTTGGCTGGCGTGAGGGTTTCTGGTTTAGGGCTTTGTTTATGCCTGAAATGCGTGGAGGGCCTGCATGCTGAAAAGATGGGCCAGCGCTATATGCAGCAAAGTAGACACCCAACTCAGAATGATATCACGGCAGTTCGAATGGAATCTGCAAGACCGCATCTTCCAGCCAGCCATGTTGGTAGAGACGAGCGCTGTGCTGGCAATCCTCTGTCTTGAGCTTTGAACCAAGGC